GAATTTAATTTCCAACTAAAAAAATCTTTAAATTTTTTTTTTTTAAACCCGTTATCCTTAAAACTATGTAGTTACTAATTTAATGTGCAACATGATGCAATCACATTGTTTGTTAAAAGTCAATTACCGTAGAGTCATTTGACATTGGACAAACAATTTTTCTCACAAAATACCTATTAGACTTAAATTGACAAAATTATTAACGTTTATTGTGTGACGCCTCAAATCAGCTGTAATATATCAACATGGGCATTATACGTATACGTTTTATAAAAATCAAAAACATTACGGTTGTGTCGGTTTCAGGTACAACAGGTACGTCATGGACGTAAGACACGCGTGTAGTTTTTATGACAATATCGCGATCGAATCAGGATAATTGTTTGATTCCTACGCCTATGGCATAATATATTGTATGTAGGTAACTAATATTATAATTTATACGTATAGTAAATACAAGTGCAGCAACGATAATTAATGCATAATCATTTTCATCCGGATTACAACTATTATTATATTCCAGTCCTTGAACATTCAAGACTCGTGTAAGATAATACGAGGCTCGGTGAAAAATTTGCACACAAGACGTAGTGGGTATCAAGTGTGAAAGAAAAAATTATATTCAATTAACGTGTAAATTAGTCTTAAAATCGGCGCCATCATGATCATACGCGCGATCCATTGGGGTTTTCAGTAGTCGTATCGACGAGTCGATCTGCGCGTGAAAATTTACGTGACGCAATAAACGTAATACGGACATGATGGGTAAACAATTACTTGGAATTTGAAACGCCCAGAATTTACCGAAACGGAAATTTTAAAATGCATTAGTCGGCCACTCAACGCGCGCGGCAACTGGTTCGCCGCGGCCTTGCGCCCGGAGACCGCGCCCGCCGCACACTTCTAAAGAAACTTTCCAACCCAATACACGGCACGATAGGACGTACAATCATTGCATATTAGCATGTATCGGTGGGTCGGATAGTGCAAAAAATATAATCTATAATAATAATATATATTCATGTATCATATTTGCGTGCAGGTGTACATTATAATCGTACGTAGGTACTTTCTAGGTATTATGTTAATTTGCATTTTAATATATTATATTATTAGATATCGTCTAATAATTATACCGCACGCATACAGCAAAAGCGTCAATCGTCGTTGAAGACAGATCGACGCATTTCGTTTTATAAAATACGTAGGTATACGTCTCTCCGAGAAGCTATTTTTATTTATATAATACTATAATATAGCAGTAATGACATAGTGTATTCCCCTCTCCCCTCCCGTCAATACTTGGTTGATAATATTACGTTATATCGTTGATTGAATGTACACGTATAATATATATACTTACGTGTCGCATCGTTAACCCGCGATGAGACATTATGCGTCTGTTTACGGTGGACCTCATTTTCGCGCTTCACGACTGGCCGGATTCTCGACCTTGCGGAAAACCACAATTTTTCGTTCAAACAATCATAGTAGCAAGAATAGTACACGGACGACTTATGCATCTACGTAATGAGGGCTGTCCGGCAAGATCAGTAAAAAACCATAGCACAGTATAATATACCTAATATGATTATACGAGTGTACACTGTATCGTTTATATCGTACGTATTACCGGGTACATGCTATAATTATTAGCGAATTACACGAGTTAGATACGATAGATTACGTGTACCCATAAGACTTAGATTACTTTATTTGAACGAGAATAATTTTCTGAAACCATCAAAGGGATTTTGTAAAGGATGTGAAAAATATAATAAAAACAGGTTACGCACAATAATTTTAAAGATTAAAAAATTTTAATTTATACCATATGATTTATGTCACATTTTGATGTACAAAATTTATTTCACAAAATGTAAATTGTATTATGCGAGCGCGTATTGAGAGGGATGCAAGTTTCAAACTTTCCCAAAACGCGTTATTTAGGTTTCCCTTACACTTTCACCAAAAAAACCCGATTGAAACCCGAGGCCTTGCTCAGTAAGAATTATTTTATGTTACCTTTTAAGTAGAACACTCCGTAATATACATTTATGTACAATTTATCGGAACGGTATATACAGCTATAAGCGTATACGTATGCAAGGCACTCATTTTTCATTTGGACCGCTTGCACCTGCCCTCGCGTTTCTCGGCCTCTTTGACCTTTGTGCACATACCGATTGTCAACCTCGTGGCGGTAGTTCCATGCCACCTCATGCAGTGCGCGCAGCACTGCCACCTCCGTCTCCATAAGTGTTCGACGATAAATCTCGAAATACCTTGACTTAGCCCGTCATGTGTGATTGCTGTGATATAGTAGCGGTGGTCTCGTACACATAATACGCCGTGAGGACTCGGCTATGTATAGCAGCAGGAAAACACGCGTATAATAGAAGTTATCCTGCAGGTTCTTATCGACTGACAAAAACAACATGTTCCATAAACGGTTTTTGTTATCGGCTGCTGTGCACTGCAGTAATCTTGTACAACAAAAGTCGTGAAAAAAAAATGAAGAATTATTTTTTTTTGGTTTTTCGTTTACAATTATTTGAAACTAACCATCTCAACCGCGCAACGGTGTTTTATCCAAAGTAATGCAAACCGCTATAGCTGCAGAGCCTACGTTAACTCATCACTGAATTAAAGATACGGTATTTTCAATCGACTTTCTTCGAATAATATATTATACAGCGACGTTATGATAATCGGATTTATACAGTGACCGCAATTGGTTTAAAATTTAACAAGCGATGATTTCCTACCGACAAACAAATTCTAGGTTTTTTCCTACATTTCTTTAAAATTTCTCAAACAATAGAGGAAAAAACTGTCACCTGATTGTCGTAATAGTAGGTACTAGGTACCTAATTACGTGGATAAAAAATATTTATGTACATTTATATATATATATATTCGGTTGATTTGACGACCAGAAATATTCAAGGACACCAATGTCAGCAGTCATCAACAGTAGTGCACTCTACGCCACCGAGTACGACTCCACTCACTCATATATATATATATATTTATAGCTGGTATTTATCGTATACTAGATAGTATATAGCCTGCAGTGACTGTATACCTGATGAAGTGAATCCAAATGCAGGTCTTTGACATTGTTGAAACCGCACGAGAGACATCCGCCTACTAGTTTTTATATAAACACGCGGTTACCGAGCACTACACGATACGTACTTATGTATATATTATTATTTATATACACCACTGGCGGAAAATCGTCTGCGACACAAACAAGTAAATACAATAAAGTATTTTCTGTGCTCCGTCAATATGTAAATACGCCTAGCCGGATGTGATCTGTACGATAAGGTTGGAGACCACCGAGCAAACGCTGCCGGTCTCGGCTCCCCTACGCAGGTGGTTGATACCTTTATAATATTATTATAATACATATAACTACAAGAAGTAGGTGCATTCATACAGAAACAGGGATGAAAAGATCGCAAAAATAGTTGTTAAAGTTATACGGCAATAAAAAAATTAACTACTCAATCCTGATCACTTAACAGCTCCATGAAATAATGTAGGTATCTATATATTCCTGTTACGCATAGTTTATTTTAGTGGACTTCGCTCTGCAGTCGACTACTAGACTTAATCTCCTCAATTTTTTTTTATTTAAAAATAAAAAATAAAAATAATTCATTATAAAATTATATCCATACATAATATATTATATTGCACACATGGCTAAAAACTACACACGTTTTATATGACTCTTAGACACTATCATTATGATGTATAGTATAGGCGGTATGCACTTAAACATACAAATGTGGGAAAATTCCGTTCTGCCTCTCTGTGAAAAATGTAATGTAATGCAAAATCCATGCGTAATTACGTACATCTAACTTTACGGTATATTTTACAATATTTGAATTTAAAATGTTTCTATTTATGAGTAGTGTTATTATACAAGCTCACGTTTATTTTATTGCCTACTGCCTATACTATAATATATTATTATTTTATTTTTGAACGATTAGTATTACTTCCGCCCCTTCTCAGTATTATAAATAGAATACTCATTACATTTTTTAATTTATTCATATAATTTTATTTTTTGTATTTTTAAAGATTTATGCATACACAACTGCAGATTATAGATACAATGATAAAAATTTAAAATTTACGTTCACAATATTGTTTTTGAAACAAATATTGTCTACAACCTATTTATTTTATATAGGTAATTCAATGTTGATTTATACTTATATGATATTGATGACGATAATGCAATAATATTGTAAAGGTCTATTATTCATTTTAATTTCTTCTAGAGACTTATAGAGCTACATTCGTATGCGCTTACGTAGTACCTATATTTAGTTACACATAAGTATTATTCAAATGTGTACTAGATAGTGTTTATTATGTGTAAATAATATTATGTGTATGTATACATGCATTTAAGAACAGTTATAACAAACGGACAATTGTTTTCAAAAGTATCTCCCTAGCCAATAGAAAGTAAAAAAAAATAACACTATGATATATGGGTGTATGTAGTGAAAGATTTCGTGGGTTATACGAAGGCGTGTTTCATATTTGGCATGACAGTTGTTCCTACCCTCCCCTTCTCACAAATTGGCCCAGATCTAAAAAAAAAGTATAATTTAATATGTAGGTACAATACGCGCTACCAATAAACGTTAATCACGAAGTGGTTTTTCATTGAAGTTATATTAAAAATTTTAAATTGGAAAGTATAGTAATTATCAAAATGACTTGTCACGACACATACGTTTTGTATAATATTTAAACCGTTAAACGATTGCAATGTGCTGATTAAAATGTGTGATTGGTAACTGGATAAGCTGTTAAACGATTAATGATCATAATGAACTACCTACTGATGTTATATTTTTATCATTGATTATCGTGTTTGATTAGTATTAAATAACTAGTGAAACTATTATTATATTGAGACGTCAATAATAAAGTCTTATTTGTTTTGTTTTGTTTTGTTACAGTGAAAATGAAATGCATCCTGCCTGCAGTGTTATGGCTATGGCAACTCATCAGTTTGGTAAGTAACAACCCAATATCATATAACCAATATTCTTCTGGATTCTTCTGAATTATATCATCATTGACCAAAAATAAATATATCGTTTCATTTTAAATTATATACCGAGTTACCAAATTGTTTCAAATTACAAATCATTGAAAGTCGATCTGTAAAAGATAACACTTAGATAATATATATTGTAACTATACATACCCATAGGTCATTATATTAGTATAATTTAAAAACTGAAAACAATGAATTTAATTTGAAATTTTCATAATATCGCCATTCTACACTTTTAATTTATAGTATAACTAATAGTTATACAAACCTAACTTTATACTCGACTTTCATATTCGATCTAATGTCCAATCATCATAATATCGAAATCAAGGGGAAAGTATTGAAATTACTATTATGCTAGCATGAAATAGTGATTGAAACCGGTTTGAGTATTAAAAAAGAAATGATTCACCAATGTACAAAATCTTACTTAATGTCTGCATGTCTGCACAAACAAGTGATCACTATACACCTTGACTTTTTTAACCACTTGACCATGTTGATTTTTCTATACACACCGATCTATTTGTTATTTTAAATTTTAAATTGTCTCGTAAGTCAACAGATGAATGTGATAAATCTCATTATAATGTCACCAAGATTCCATTTAAAAAGTAATTACGGAAGCATATTTTGGTAGCGATATTGTGTATGTTTTTTTTTTTTTAAATTAATAATAATTTTAATGGAAATTTTACTGATGAAAAGTCACGAAAAGCAAGTTTGATAATAAAGATTTTTAATTTTGACCGAAGGTCGATGTTAATCACCTGTTTTTCGACGTTCGTCGTTAGGTTAAACAATGTGTATTTTAATAAAAGCGTTCTTGAGATACATAGACTGGAAGGTTGTGCATACATTTTGCACTATGTTTTCATAATTTTATAATTTATTTTATCCTTCAAGCGAAAAGGGAGACGGCTAAACAATAGTATTTTATTTCATTATAAAAGTTTGATGTTATAATTGAACACAAATACACAGGTTTTCATTATTATCATAACAAAGTAGATACATTATTTATAATATAATATTACCTACGTATATATGCTTCTAGCAGTTATTTTCATACATAATTTTCACAAATATTTAAGTGTAGGTATATGTTTAAAATATGTTTAACAAATATAAAACTCTTTTTTTTCATATAAATGTAAATTATTTATGATATAGTAATTTATGAAAGACAAACCTATTTGTTGTTCACTGACCTGTAAATCGTGGGTAGATCCACAAAACGCCTAAACATTAATAATTTATATTTGAGATTTGCATAATTCGTATGATTCATTTTTTCGGTTCTTTTATTGCCGCCAATACTTGTTATAACATTATATTGATATACGTTATGGACTAGGGTTAACACTTAATCATGACGTATGACGTAGAAGCGTTCGGTGAATTTGAGTATTCTTTGGAGCTGAGGTTTGTTTTACTGTAAATTTCAGGTTTTTTTAAAATTATTGGATATATTTGCATTAGATTTAATTTCTCTGCAATATTGTTATGTCGTTGCTTAATGTAATTGTCTGAAAAAATATCGTTTGTTTTTGGTACCGTAAGATCTATGAATAGTTATTTATTTTTTTTATCAATTATAGTACAACTTTGACACGTAATATAATATTTATTTATTTGTATACACCACATTTTGTCTCATATTAATAGATAAAATACTGTATTCATCTCACGTTATCGGTGGTCTATACCATAAAAATATGATAGAATAACCGGAATACATATAGTATTATCTGTGTATTGAATCGATATAATGATAAAAATTAATTTTTCCATAATTTCTTGGATGATATATTGCCGCGGTATGTATATTTTATATAGACTGCACTGACTATTATTGTGTATATAAATATATAGACTTCGTATAGAATATATCGCCAGACAAGCGAAAGGAATAACTGGTTTCCTTCGTCTCGCACTCGGCTCGAGTCGAGATTACTATAGTAAAGGTAGGTACCTATATATATTGTATGAAGAAAACTAGTTTTGTGAACATAATATTATCTAAGCTCATGTATATGGTTTTTCAATACTCTGCTGCGAATTCCATAGAATATTAACGTTCCAACAGTCCGTTTGCAAAATTTAATAGTACAATATATATAACTATTTTTTTTTTTATCAGCGCGATTTAATCTTTTTATCGATTCTGTTTAGTACATACTGTGTATTATTTGATGATTTAATTTTTCGGTTTCGGTCAATCATTAAAATTTAACTAGGAAATATACTATGCACACACTATTGAATTATATTGTGTTGTATTCGACTTTTGTTATTCTATTACTACCGCGTTACGCTACGCATTATGTCTACAATATTTTGTTGTACATAAAAGGTGTATTTTATTTATTTATTTTTAAACTCACGACTCTTATACAGTTGACCATCGATGGTCTTTTGAAACTAATTGTAACTAGATGTTGTCGCTGCGATTGTTGCAGCGCATACCACATAATATTATTCTTTTCATTATTATTTTTATATAGGTATATGTATAGTACGGGTACATATAAATAATATGCGTATATATATATTTTATATACGCATTATACACAATATCGAACTTAGTACCGATTCGAACACAGGGCACGAGCAGTCATTCACCCTTAAGTCGTGATTTCAGTTCTCTAAAGTGCTCTCGGACGATTATATTAATCGTGATCGCATTAAAATCGCCGCGTCGACGGAAACGCATATATGGACGTTTTACACCGGATTTCAAGATTAGAACACATGCAAACACCACACACGTGTGCTATGTGCGTATAAATTAAACTTATGTGTTCGTATGGTTTGAGATAACCCAAACATAATATAGAGCTACGGACAGTCTTCGTTTGTCAAGCGGGACACCGCGAGTTGGCACAGTGTGCAATAGGCGTGAATAAATCGATTAGTTCGGCGTGAAAACAATAACTGACGTGAGACATACATAAATTCGGCTGTCAAGTTCAAGGAATACATTATATAAGTTTTTTTTTTTTTGTACAGGCATAGCATTAGTAGGTATACTGAAAATAATGTTATATGACCAAGTTCAAGATTTTCCGATAGCGCCTATATCTGCATATAATATATCAAATACTAAATAGAATGTGGTCGGTCAATAATCGATTTTAGTTCGGTACACCGCACATATAGTATATGATTTAATAGGTATATATTCTCATAGCGGGAAAACCGCGAGTTTTGAGTACTCACCGGATCGCGTCCATCGAGCAGTCAATGATATAAATTATAACACATACATATAGGCGCACGCATGAAAAGGGCCAGTTGGGCTTCTGTCCCTCCTGCTGGCTAATTTTGTTTCTCAAAATATAAATAATGTATCAGTTGTAAAATATTTTCCAATCTTGCAATCATAACTTTATAAATTATCTTTAAAAATACGGTAGGTAATAATTTATCACGAATCGTGTTACCAAAAATTCTATCCCCCTCATTCCACCGACAACAAGGTCTGGTCACGCCAAGGATCATATGGGTACCTATATTAAACATGTCTATACGTAGTAAAATTAGCCATATCAATTCGTTCAGAGTGACAAATTACTAATTAGTGGAAGTGACTTTACGAATAAACAGTGGAAGATATAATTGAAAACGAAATGGTGCATTGAATGGAACTCGATTTGATTAGTACGAACCGTTATATTGAAGTCTTTGAGTGAAAAAAAAACCAAGGGTATACTAACCTTATACCCGTAGGTTAATGACGTGACGCTTTAGTTTAGCATATAATATTATTATTCATATCAATCATATCATAGTCCGAAACTTCAAGTACGCAGCACGTTGTTTATTGATTCGATTTAAGGGTACACATTTTATGAGCGCACTCACATAGTTAACGAATGATAATAAAAATAAATTACACGTCGAACATTTTTTTTCACGATTTCGGATGGTACAAAAATAAACCTTGAAAAACGCTGTCGGACTACTATGAAATATTCCAAAACACATAGACTTGACGAAGTATTCGTATAACGACAACTTTTACAACTAAGCGATCGTCGGGGCATCCGTGGTCACTGGAAATAAATAACATGTTACCGCGCGTCGTCGGACAATTATCAACCATCTATCGCATTTATATTATTTTAAAGCGCGTGATGGGCAGTTTGCGACTTGGCCGCATAATCATCATTACGATCCCCAAGTTCGGCAATTTGTGAGTAAATGATGATTTCAAAATAATTCGATTACCCGGGCACTCTCGTCGGATCGAATTGTTTGTAATACGCGCGTATGATCATGATAAACATGTAAATTATGATAATATGCGTTTTACTCTTCCCAGAAAAAAAATCGGTTCCGAGAACGAAAAAAGAACCTTCGCCCAGCGCACTTATACGTAGGTATACTACAACTACGTAATCACGAAGCGTTCAACACAGCCGCGCATAAAATACATTATATTGTAGTAACGACGCCCGTTATTATACTATCATCCGCGCCCAGCGTGCGTTATTTACGTGGTTAATGGTCGTCGGTAATGTATACATGATATACATGATATATCATACGATGCGGTAAGTGCCATCTCACACAGAGTTATGATCCTCGGGGGGTGCTGTTTGAAGCGCGAGACAATAGCTGAATGCCCCAGTGGCGCGTACCTACGGTCCGGCGTGTGTGTACGAGACCGTCGTGTAATTATATTACTGTACGGACGTTGACGTAAGGAAAATAGGAAAATAGGTATATTACGTCGTACCCAAATGCAGTCACCCATACGTACGCCTGATAATAATGTCGTGCGCACGCGCACGTCGTTCACGCACAATGCTATACGATCGAAAACAAATACCCCGCGACAACGGCGGCGGCGGTGCCCAAGAGAGTATGATATTATAATAATAATAATAATAATAATAATAATAATAATAATAATATGATATTATAATACGTATTATTATAACGACGAG